TTCGAGGTGTTGATCTCGGTGGTGCTGCTGCTCATCTGAGTTTTCAGAACTTCGGTCTGTGAAAAACAGTAAACAAAGTAATATTTCATTGTTTGTGTGGTGTCCCTGCACTGAGGTCAACATTAATGAAGCACAGGCACACACTCACTTTAGTCACTTCTCTTCTGTAATTCTGTAATTTCTTATTTTTTTAAATCGTTTTTTAAACTTTGAGACACCATTGAAGCACTGAAGCTTTTTCATTTAACAACCTTTCCTGCCATACAGTATGTGTCCCTTTTGCTGCATTTCTCAAACACCTTACCCTAACCTCTCACCTTCTTCTGGAACCAGATTTCGGCCTCCCTCCTGTTTCTCTGCACCAGGGCCTCGTACTGCTCCCTCATGTTCTGCAGCTCCATGGTCAGGTCATCAGTGCGGGCAGAGTCCACCTCCACGCTCACAGACCCAGCCTGCTGGGATCTCAGCAGGCTCATCTCCTGCACACACACCGAGCACGAGGAGTACATGACTGCTGTCTTCACACACCTCAGCCTGCCCCTCTACCCTGGCTTGTTTTAACATTCCCCAAGAAAATCCAACCTTCCCAATTCACACCTCATCTTTTTCAACCTACTGAAAATCCCATTTTTCTGCAGTGTTCTGCAGACAAAACAAGGTCTGACAGGAAACAACCCAGGGGAAGAATATATGAGCAGCACTGGCTGATCAGCACTCACCAGCAGGGCTTCCCAGAACTAGTACAACACTATTTAAAAATTATTTCCTGACTTGAATAAAAAAATGTGATCTTGATGAATGGACAATCTGACTTTCACCAGGGTGTTTCCATCATTCTGCTCTTCCTTGACCTTCCCTGCCCTGGACATGGCGCAACCCTGCTGTACTACACTAGACACTCATGGCAGCTCGTGGCAGTTGTCCATCTCACCTCCGTGTGGTCCTTCTTCAGGAAGCCAAGCTCCTCCCGCAGGCCTTCGACCTGCACCTCCAGATCCGACTTGGAGATGGTCAGGTCATCCAGCACCTTCCTCATCCGGGACAAATCCATCTCCACCATCTCACAGGTGTTGTGCTCTGATTCATACCTGCAGGACACAGGACAGCCTGCTATCAGGAGCACGGGGCACAGGACACCATGCTTTCAGGAGCACAGGGCACAGGAGAGTCTGCTGTCAAGAGCACAGGGCACAGGACAGCCTGCTGTCAGGAGGAGCACAAGAGAGCCTGCTTTCAGGAGCACAGGGCACAGGAGAGTCTGCTGTCAGGAGCACAGGGCACAGGACAGCCTGCTTTCAGGAGCACAGGGCACAGAAGAGCCTGCTGTCAGGAGCACAGGGCACAGGAGAGCCTTCTGTCAGGAGCACAGGGAACAG